AATATATTTTTTTAAAAGTGGTTTAAAAATACATTTAAAATAATTTAAATGTATTTTTGAACCACTTTTTCAATTTCGCCGCTCACTCACATATGTTGATATTTTATATTTATAAGTTAATTGCAATGGAGATAATGCTGGAAAAAACATATACTACACTGAATAGTATTCAGTTTTGTTCATACAAATATAATTGTGTTACCCACCAACTGCAGTGCGTAGTTTGAAGAACTATATTGCAAAATAATCTGCTTTCTCACTACAATGAAACAGCTTTCACAATAGCAAAATGGTATATTCCTTGTACAAATATCTAGTAAATTTATCTATAACTATTAATGTTATTAATAACCTGTCCAATTGAGTATTCAAAACATCTGTTAAATCATATTTACTGAGCATCCCGTGCATAAAAAACTATTGCCATGCACGCATATTCAAGTTATCGTTTAGTGAGTAATCCTATTACTCACTAAACTAAATAAGGGTTGTCCACCCCTAACATATTTTTTTTATATTTTGGGCAAAATTTTTTATTCATATTTTTTAATACGTGTCATTTAAAAATACAACCCTAAATTTTCACCCTTATACTACTTTAATTTATATGGCAAAACAACGTTTGCCGGGACGGCTAGTTATATGTATAAATTATCAAATAACTTCTGAAAATAACATCATTACCTTCCAATCAATATACCAGTGACAAACTTTCACTTTTGCAGACAACATTTGAGGAAAACTTTTCATGACTTCCCAATTACTCATCTGGGAATGAATTAGTGACAATAAATTAGTTTTCCGATACTTCGAGGTCTCCTTAATTTGACAGCTTAGTAGTAATAATTGAAGATGACAGTTTTTATATTCAAAACTGAAGTTCAAGAATTGGAAAGGGTTAAGTATCTACTCTGTTAGAATATTAATGAAGTAATTCTTAATTTATACCTGGTCTAATATCATTCTTATACATAAAAAAGTGTTTGTACTTTAATGCTAATAAGAACTTATTCGTTTATTATATTTTTACAGCTTTTCAATTCAGCTTTCCAATTATAGAAATCTATATGTTATCTATAGTACTCTTATTATGTTCTAAAAGTCGAGAAAATATAACTAACAGACAGACATGTGTGTCAGTATTATACACACTTTCTAATTTGTAATAATGGTATACTGCTTGCTTGCTGTGTGTAAAAGTAATAATTTCGTTTAAAAAATAGGGTAAGCCACGCCTCTCATAGCCACGACTTTGTAGAAAACAAATGTACTTTGCAATATGTATAATAAGAAAATGTAAGATATCGAAGTGATGATGACGTTGATTAACATCAACAACATCTTAGAATTATTCTTAAATATATATAACTAAAATGTATCGAAACTCGATGATATATTACAGAGATACAACATCACACAGACTAGAATATTGTCATCATAATATTATATATTATATTACCATCCAACTTATACCCGTAGGTTATATATAAGGTCAGTCAGACACTATCAACTGATTGGAAAATAAAAAACAAATTAATAGGAAGACAAACCTATATGGATAAAGTAAATAAAATAAATACAAAAAAGGACAGGCTACATCGATTCAGGCATCTGGAATGAATATTGGATATGAAAATACAACGATACAATATACAAAAGTGAATTGATGCATGACATGATCTATCATGAGTTTCCGAGACAGTCATGTATGCATGAAAATGGGTAAGCAGCATATACATACGTATCTGTAGATTTGCGCTTTATTTTTTCTGTACGAAAATAAGCTGGAAATAGTTATAACAAACATAATTGTTATGAGATATTGTGTTATTGTTTTCTTTTTATGTTGTTATATTTGACTTTGAAATATAAATGTTACAGTGTAATTGTAACACGTGTAACCTCAAGTACTGGTAAATACCTAGAAATATATTTATACTTGTAAGTACACGTTGTGTAATTTGCGTGACTTCAACACACAATTTGAATGAAAATACATATTTACTGATGCTCTACGTAAACATGAGATTATACTTGTTAACACGTGAGCACACAATTATGCATAGGGTAGCAGATTTTGCAAACTAAATTAACTGTTTATTGGCTCGGTGGTAATGTGATAGAGTTAGAAGCGAGTCATGAATTTAAATCCAACGTTAGAATTTAATATAGCACTAATTAGTCATATATTTAAGCTTTTATTCTTTTACTGATATATGTATTTTTTGTAATTGTGGTAGACAGAGGCATTGCCAACTGTCGACGTTGTGGTGAACGCAATACTTGACTATTTCAGTGTTCAAAATCAAAATGAGTTTAAAATGTAAACACCCAAATTTGATCTAGTACCAGTTAAGATTCGTTAGAAGTAAGTCGTCGTTCGAAGGTAAGTAAGTCATTCGAAGGGTAGTAAACTAGTAAAGCAATTCACTTTTATAAATATTTTATATTTTTGTACAAAAATGTTAATATCATAAAATTAGTTAATTTAACAGCTTAAGTCATCAGTGAGTATAACAAATAAGAGTTTTTTATTTTATCAAGTGATACTGAATCTTAGATGACACTTCTCTAGTTTTATTTTCTCCGACACGTAATTTCATCGAATTCATTTGTTTATGTAAATAGTAATACTTTTTTAGTATTACTATTTACATAAACAAATGAATTACTGAATACTACTGAATGTACGTTAAAACGTATAGTATAACAATATAGCCATATAACTTTTATTATTTTATTCAAATAATAAAAAACAAATAAATTGTCTCCAAGACTGTAATGCAGTGGGGTCGTTTTATTGAACGTAGTAACTAATAAAGCGTGCTCATATTCGGAAGATATTCGAGTCCAACATAAAGGATTTAACCTAAATATCCTTTTAAAGTATTTATATTCTATAATCGTAGGGCGAATGAAGATTACAGCTTCCATATTTCCAAAATAAAATGTACACATTTGTTGTCAGAAAAGTTCTGTATTTTAGGAGCTTAGTCTCATCCTAACCAAGTCTCCTACGCTTTCCAATTAATTACTAATGTTTTCTATCAGTTAGGTAAGCAGTTAAATATTCATATGCGTCTATATCTGAGTACGAGTAGATATTATTTTTATAATTATATAATAATAAGATACATCCACTACGAATAAAGTAATTAAATAATACAAAATTTTATATGAAATACTATTATATAAAAGAGCTAGAAAATACTAAAACATAAGATATTTGTGACAGTAAGATTTTAGATATTTACATGTAATTTCGATTTGCAGTCTTAATATACATACAACTTAATATACACGAACATGTATCCTTCAAGAAGTTCGGTTGAGTGCATTTTCAATTATAAAGTATTCTCGGCGGAGTCAATTTTGTAATGTAATACTTATTGGTTTTTAAATTTCTTTTGCTGAAGGAAGAATACGGTATATCGGCGGCACTTTTCATCTTCATTGTGTGTAAACATTTAAGGAAATAAATATATAAAAAATACTACAAAAGAAACTAGTCACGACAAGAAGCCCTTTGCTATGGCCCAGTCTTCTTAATAGTAATAGACTATTTTTTTCTCTTATAAAGAGAAATACATGCTGAACATAATAGGATGGTAACGGATCACTGTAGATGACAATGATTATCAAATGGAGATCATAGAGGATCAAACATATTTTAATGTTATAGTAGTATTTTTGACATATAATATTACTATATTATTTGCGTCGCAATTTTTTTTCAGAAATATCTTACAATTTTCCTAATTCATTCATACATCTGCTTCTAAGATCACAATTTAACAATCATTTTAAAAATATCTACGTACTTTAGAACAATTCTCAGCGACTAACAAAGATTTGGAATCCTCCTTAATACGTCATCGAATAATTTAAATAGCAACAGAGAATACAAAAGATTATCAATGAAGTGGAATATCTTTAGGTGCTATATATTTTGAACAATAACCAAAATGTTGAAACTAATTGTCTAAAACTTATACTGTATTAGTATTGTCCATAGTTACTAAATCATTGGGAACGCACAACCAAAATTACTACGAGTTTGTTTATAAGTATAAAACGAACAAACATAAACGGATTTTAAAACTCTCATTACAATGATAAACATCATGGCGCCGCGCAGGTCAACCCGTGGGAAATAACTAGTAATTTGTAAACTTAATTAAATTAGTATAGTTGTACTTTTAAAGTAAAACTAATTATATATTAAAAAATTCTCTAACCTAAGAGGCAGGTGTGAAAATAAGGCCAATTAAAACTTTATTCATTAAAACTTACGTCTGTATTAGTATTAACTACATCAAATATTACTACTTACTATATATACTTATGAAATATATTCAGATTCAGTATTCATGTTATATATATGAACTCGACTTTTATACAAATATGAAAAGTCCACATCTCATCATATGGTATTTTATGCACGTACGTAAAGAGAATACTGTATGTTTAAGAGTATTCTATTCTATAAATTGTAAACATATAATTTATAATAATAATAAATCACTTTTACTGAAATAATTCAATACATGTTGTTGGAGATTAAAACCTCCTTGTTAATACTTTTTTTATAGCCATATACTCTTTAATGTTCCTGTCACTGTTCTTCTTTTGTTTTTTCATTGCATTTGATCTTTTCACAATATACGGAAGCAAATTAATTTCATTTATCCACAATTACCTAGTTTTATTACAATCACCATAATAACCAACTGAGAAATCCATAATACTCCCCAACATGGTCCAAGATCGAAGCCGGATGTAAGAATTTATTGAATTAATTACAATTTATTAAGAAAAGGAGTTTTCCAAATTACAAGAAATTGTCGCTGCCGTTGCAGTCACGTTTTCCACCATATTCTGCAAGGAGTATCGCTTGGGTCTATACCAAACAGTGTGTGAGTATTATAGTTTATACCCAACACTCTTAATTTGATATTTTATTATTAGTGTGTTTATATTTTTGCGACACGACTCCCAGAATGACCGATGAAAAGGGATTAATTAGGAAGCGTGGTAGTTTCAAGGGGCGTTTAACATCATTTTCGACATACTTAAATTCATTAGATGTTTCATCAATGAGTCCCACTGATGTCAATGAATTGCAGTTACGGATTGGTAAGATTGAATTATTATATGACCAATTCGATGAAGTACAATTGCAGTTAGAATGTATTGTCGAAAACAGTGATTTACAAATTTCTGAAAGGACTGAATTTGAATCTCAGTATTATAAATTGCTTGCATTAGGACAGAAAATACAGTTTGATTTTAGTAGTACACATGACCAACATTTGAACGTAAATAGTGAAAAGTGTTCTCGATCTGGTAATAATTGTAAACCCGTCCGTCTTCCTATTATTGAAATAAAAAAGTACAACGGATCGTATGATACCTGGATTGAGTTCCGTGACACATTTACAAGTCTAATACATTCCAATGATGATATTGATCCAATTAACAAGTTTCATTACCTGAGAGCGTCATTGGAAGGTACCGCTGCGGTTGTAATACAATCATTTGAATTCTCTTCAAAGAACTATGAGATAGCTTGGCAGCTCTTATGTGAACGGTTCGATAACAAACGCTTGTTATTACAGAATCATGTTAGTGCTTTATTTAATATAGAGCCGGTCACAAAGGAGTCATCAACAGTGTTAAAACGGGTAGTAGATCAGGTTAATAAAAACCTCCGTGCTTTGGAGTCTCTAGGAGAGCCAGTTAAACACTGGGATACTTTACTCATTCATATTGTGATTCATAAATTAGATTCAAAATCATATCGTGAATGGGAAGAGCTCAAAAGTAACTTAGATAAAAATAAACCTATTACCTTTAATGATTTTATTACCTTCTTGCGTAATCGTGCGGATTTATTAGAGAGTCTTGAGTTGTCGCGTAATGTTAGTACTAGTAATCAGCCATCTCAATATATTAAACCTACGTCAAAGTGTAAGTCAATGGTCTCTGTACAAAATAATAATATAGTTCCAATGGTTTGTCCTAAATGCAATGGTGATCATAGTTTAGGTAATTGTCATCAATTTTTATCATTAAGTAACAATGAACGTTTTCAGTTATTACCAAATTATAAGGTTTGTTACAATTGCTTCCGTAAAGGTCATTTTGCCAATCATTGTAAGAAACCTGGCTGTAAAGTTTGCAAACGTAAACATAATACTCTCGTTCATGTGGTCGACCTTAAATCGGTTTTAAATAATGAGACTCTTCATTCTGATGTATGTTCAACTTCAGAAACTTCGCGACCTGTTGTTAGGATACGCGATGAGTCTAATATTCCGATTTCTTTGTCAGCTAATGTTGCTGATATGAATAGAGGCGGCCAAGAGGTCCTACTATCGACTGCATTAGTTAAGGTGTATGATATTCATAACCGCGAGCATGTTGCTCGAGCAGTACTCGATAGTGGTAGCACTTCATGTTTAATGACAGAGAAAATGTACAGTCAGTTAAATTTGTCTACAATTAATGTAAATAAGTCAGTAATAGGCATTAATAATGTATCGTCGCACGTAGGCAAAATGTGTCGAGTATCAATGAAGTCATTGAATAATAGTTTCTCGGTTAATATTAATTGTTACATTTTGCCATCAATTACCGATAACGTGCCTTCAAGTCAAATAAATTTGACGGATTTAAAATTGCCATCTAACATTCATTTAGCTGATCCCAAATTTCATTCTCCATCTGCTGTCGACTTAATACTCGGCGCTGATATATTTTGGGATTTAATAGGTTTACAGCAATTGAAATTAGGTATTGATAAGCCGATACTTCATGAAACCAAACTTGGTTGGGTGGTTTCAGGCCCAATAAACTGTGGCTACAAATCGTCGTCTTCACATAATATAAAATGTAATTTTTCTTCTATACACGATGAGACTCCAACTCAATTAACGCAGTTCTGTCAGTTCGAACAAGTCTGTCCCCAGTCATCTAATTATTCCGTTGAAGAAAAGTTATGTGAAGAACGTTTTATTAAAAATATTACTCGTTTGAAAGATGGTCGATTTTGTGAAAGCATACCACTGAAACAAAACTCTATCATGTTAAGCGATTCATTTCAGCGAGCTAAATATAGTTTTTCAATAGAGCATAAGAAAGTGAATAAACCTATATTTAAAATAATGTACACTGATTTCATATCAGAATATGAATCTTTAGGTCATATGACCAAATGTTTTAATAACAATTCGGATTCTGTACAATATTATTTTCCTTGTCATAGAGTTCTGCGTGAAAGTAGTCCTACTTCATTAAGTATTTCTTATAATAATTTACAATATGTCGGTCCTACTATACAGAAAGATCTTAGGTCTATATCTCTTTGGTTTAAGCAATATAAATACATCATAGATCTATGTTTAGAGAATATGTACAGGCAAATTATTATACATCCCGAATATAGATGCATACAATCAACTTTATTGCATGGCGACCCATTTAAGCCTTTTAAGTTGTATCAGTTATATATTGATTTAGAGTGTAAAGATGATAAAATCTGTGACATAATTATTCGTGATTTCAATGTCGCTGACATGCTCACTGGTGGGGATGATATTGGTGAGGTTAAGCAAATTCGTGAGCAGGTCAGCTCTGCACTTCTTTCAGCAGTCATTAATTTACGGAAATGGAAATATAGTAATCCAATTCCATGTGATTTTAATGACACTCTAGTTAATTTAAATATCGGTATGACTGATGAGTCAAGTAAGACTTTAAGGTTCGGTTGGCAACCAGGTTTATACAGCCTTTTACTATTTAGCTTGGACGTATTATATTTTTGTATAGTGAAGTTGGATCCTAAAGGACATACAAATTATGATATTTTGTTTATAATCGCGCAGATATTTAATTCCTTAGGTTTACTCTCTCCTTGTGTTAATATAATAAAATTATTGTTAAAACTCAGGATCACCTGGGATGAGCAAATATCACCAGATATTGGTCATATCTGGATTGAGTTTAATTATAATTTGTTTGCTCTAAATAATATGCAAATACCACGACATATCGTGTACTCGTGTATGATTCATATAAGTTTATTGAATTGCATATTTTTATTAAATTCTATAATTTTATGATTCTTGTTTATATGTTTATAGTGTTGACAAATGTGGTAAGGTTGAAATATTATTCCACATCAATGTTTAAAACTGTCAACATAATTTTAATATCCAATTTAATATTTTCTAAGGTTATAATTTACTGCTACCTTTATCTTAGAATTTACTTATGAATAAAACTGTTAGTAAAGTAATAGTAAATTAAAAGAGCATTAATTTTAACTTTAATTATAGTTAAGCAATACTATTAGATATATTATATTATTTAGACAAATATATGATTAATAAAATTAATGATTTTGCATAAAAAGTATCCATTGTTAATGTTTAGAATTAATGCGTCGTCTTAAATAAATAAATAAAAATTTTAAATATAACAAAAGCACCTAATGTTATTATACAGTCCACTAATAGATTTACAAACTGCCTTCATTAATGTGTTGTACTATATATTCGTACGAAGGGTAAAACAATATCTCCTTTTATGAGTAATAAGTATACCTATTTATTTATAGTTAATTTCGGATTTCATCTGGAATTTTCCCTTTTAAAACTGTTGGTTTGGATTAAGCAAATCCATTCACTGTAGCTACTCGTCAGTACCGTGTCTGTAGGCTTGTAAAAGTATATGTTAACTAATACCATTCATTTAGAAAATGAATCATTTAGTAAGGTAGGAAGTGACGAGTACAATTATTACTAGGTTTACGTAAATTTACATCTAGTATGAAATCCACAGGGAAATCCACATGATATGTTCATATATTCCGACAATTGTACTTCATTTAAGGGGACATATTATTTATCAAAATTTTTTGAAGAACATCTGCAATTCTTTGATTTACAGTGCAGCCAATGAGGATTTAATATTTCATTTAATACCGGCTTTTATTATATTGTAGTCTCTGGGAATCGGGCGTAAAATCAAAATTTAAATTGAAAAGAGTGTTGGGAAATTGTCATTTAGCTTATGAAGAGCTCAACACTGTTTTGGTTCAAGTCAAGGACGTATTGAATTATCGACTGCCCACTCTGACAGCATCAGACCCAGAAGATTAGAAACCGCTAACACATTCCATCAACGGATGTTTTGACATCATTGCTGGCGCCAAGCTACATACAAGATGCTCATCATCATTAGAAGCGATTCCAAAGAATTAAGCAACTATGTCAACATTATTTTATCCCGTTGGAGTATTGTATCAGAATTGTAGTAAGGCATTATATGGCGAACAATCACCGATATTTTCAAGGTGGTCATTGTCCTAAGATGAGAGATGAGAGGACAATCTTCCGTTATTTAAGTAGAAGTTGAGACGGTTAATTATCATTGAAGCAGGAGGACGCAATTAGTCTAGTTGCTGATATCAAGACAGATACTGGAATTGTCTGCAAGTCATTCTCACATATATCTCGTCCACTTCTTGAGTCTGAAGATGGTTGAAAGTCAAGGCTTTCAACGCCCGGGGGCATGTTGGAGATTAAAACCTCCTTGTTAATACTTTTTTTATAGCCATATACTCTTTAATGTTCCTGTCACTGTTCTTCTTTTGTTTTTTCATTGCATTTGATCTTTTCACAATATACGGAAGCAAATTAATTTCATTTATCCACAATTACCTAGTTTTATTACAATCACCATAATAACCAACTGAGAAATCCATAATACTCCCCAATACATGTACATTCAAGTGACAAATTTCTGAATTTCCCATGAAAATAGTAAATTAGATTATATTAACAACAATTTTCTTATTTGCTCTATAAATGATTATGAATAAATAAATTCATATATCGTAATGGTAATAACGACGTCTGGTATAACTTTAAAATGGTCTAAACGAACGCGGAACGATAATGGATCAGCGCTAGTGGACTTATAGCCGGCCGCTACTTTATACTACTCTTGTTTTGCCCTTGATGTTACAGTAGTGTATAAACAGTTTTAAAGGTAGAATGGCACATGCCGATTGCATGTGCATTCATTCTGTATTTTAAACAAAACTCACTCACAAGTCAATGAGTATTTAAAATAAATGGACTCGTAACACATGATATAGTTTTGGGCAATTTGCCAACTGGTGCATTGATTTAGTAAATGTAACATATGATATATCAGCTTATTTTACTACTATATAAATGCGAAAGTTTTTGAGTATGAATTGATAAATGTATGGATGGATGTTTGTTACTCTTTCGCCCAAAAACTACTCATCAGATTTTGAAGAAACTTTACAGTTACATAGCTTATAATTCAGAATAACTAAGGCCATAAATTTAATGTGAGTGATACCGCGGGTACATGGGTTATCGTTAGTTATCTTTTTCTTACAATATAACGTAGTTTATTTCTGTAGTAGTCACTTCAGTCATCTCAGGGATGAAGGGTAGTGATATTCGCATATCCTATTACAATCAGTCATTGTTATGTTACTTTTATTTTCTCATGTTATATTTTACGAATATGATATAATACCTATAATATTTTTTTTTTGTACATTATATGTGATTTCATCGTTACGATCATAATAAAGTAGGTTTTCTCATAAGCTTTCAAGACAGGAAAATAAATTAAGCGTTGTTGGTGTCATAAAATAAATTAATATCATGAGATTGCCCACGTATCGAGCAGATATTCTTCTAAATGTAAATGTTTACCAACAAACATACTCAGCGTTCGTAACTTTTTGTTTTACACTAGTTTAATAATGTTCCTGATGGAACATAGAAGGGCATACTCCCTATAAGGTCCATTTTTAAAAAGTCGACTTTTGGCCTATATGTCATCTTACAATGAGTACTTCTATAAGGCAACTACAATATATTTTACTAATTAACTTAAAAACGGGGCCAAACCATAGATTGAGGATCATATTCCCCGTCTACATATTAAACAGAGCCTATAACAAATTAATGAAAACAAGCATGGGCAAAACGTGTGGAGCAAAATAAATCTTCTTTTAAGAAACTCTGCCATAAAATACCAAGTTTTCAATGTATCCACATTGTATAAGGGAACTTAAATGATTAAAAAGTTTGAAATTACGGCAGGTAATGAAACCTGTATAATCTTGAATGTACTTATTTGATCTCAAGAAATTTAATGAGTTTGAAACTGTATTTATAGATACAGGATCATCACACGGTGCATGTATTGGTAATTTTAATTAAAGCTATTTATTTATTTATCAAAATGCATACATTTAGGTATAAGTAAACATTTCCGATGAACATTTTTTACAGATTTCAATCAACTCATATTAATAACATCCGCAAAGAAACTGACACAATGTTTAATGGAGATATAATTATTTCACGTTGCATGGGTTTTTTAATTATAATAATGAAACAAAGAGTGGATTTATATAAACAGGAGATTTCATCATAATAATATGAAAATATTTAATTTTTAATTTAAAATTCGACATGTAATACCTACATATGAATTTATTATGTAAATTCTTGTGTATTACATGTCGAATTGTACTCCTTTGCTTATTTAAGTTTTATCATATTGTGGATGATTAATATTATTTACCTATGGTCTTTACAATATAGGTAGAAACTTCAAATTGAAATTAATTATGGTCGAATTTTTACCACTGAATCAACAGCAAAAAGTAAATAGTTTTACTAGTAAAAAATCTATATTTGACAGTTTCAATTGCGAAAATTACAATGCACTATTATTTAGATATTAATACTATTTTTTTACTAATTAGAATAACAAATCGGCTAAATATCCCTACGTGATATATACTACGACCTGTTATTTGACGCCCGCGGTACCCCTCATGAGTTGCTATTCCGGTAAATAAGATGTTATGCCTTCGTACTATCTAATTTTACTATCATGGTGAATGAATCATCCTTCAATCGAAACACTATCGTTGATTGATAGTTAATTATCTCTAGTAGTGTACATGTAGGTGTATGTATTCAAAAACAAAGCTACAGATGCAGCGAGCTTAGTAAACTTCTCTTTGCTTTGCATCTGTCGGCGGCAGTAGTTGGAGCCCGTTGGTTAATGCCACGGGCTAGAATTTTTTGTAGTTTTAGTAAAGTTAAGCTGCATGTAGGAATCATATTCTTTCGATTTATAAAATTAACTAAAAATCATCTATTCATATATGTAGGTCACCTTTTATGCAGGTATATTCTTTATTCGAGCCGTTGAATTCGGTTAGCCACTTAAACGGGTATTTTTTCACTATTTATGCGCATACATTTTTGTTACAGATATTCTATGTTTAATTTTAGTTTCTGTAAACTAACTTATTTTTAGGTAACACTTTTTAGTATTAAGAGATTAAGATAATATGTTTCCATACCTTGCATTTGCACTATATATATATACTGTATACTACAAAGTGAGCTGATTGGTGGTTGATGTAAATGAGAAAAGTCAACCTCTGGTGAATTTCACCAAATTAATAGTTAGAACTAATGCACTCTAAATGGTTCGATTATTATTTCAAATATAAACAGATAATCTCTACTTTAGTACTCCCACCTGATAGCAATAATGTTAATGTTATAGTGTATTTATAGACTGAGACTCGTTAAAATCCAAAAGTTTTGAATAATTTATTTAGTTTAATACTGTATATCTCAAAACCCTTTTAGTATGTGCTATTTCTCCGTATTACTTTGGATAATGTTACTATAAAGTAACAATAATAATTATTATCCTGAACATAACACTGTGTATTTTTTTTATATAATTGCAATGCTGAGTAAGCTGGTACACCGAATGGTAAGTTGTAACCGTCGACTAATATACACAATAGATATCATGTTATTCTGCGACACCTCCATTGCGGTGCCTATACATAGATATATAGTATGTCGTAATGTCACTATAACTATATCACACATAGGTGTGATATAGTTATAGTGACATTACGACATAGGTATAGACCTATACCTATCTCAGAAACTAGAAACTGCCTAAATAATTTGTAGACGATATGTGAAATACACAAAAGAAAACACAAGCTTGGCGGCTGAATTAAATCAAATTATTCTAATATATTCTAAACCCTGTAGAGACTGTACACTATATTCGAATATTTTATAAATAAATAAACTAATAAACAAAAGTGTAACAATTTATTTAACTTAAAACATAGTTGATATGCGGTGAACTGATTCAATAAACCACAACAAACTATCCATCCGCTTCCATCTATTACACGAGGAGGGAACTCGTTTAATTTAATACGGTCAATGGAACCCAGCAAAGGGTAACAATAACTCACGAACTAAATAGTAATAATTGTAAAAGTAATTTATTACAATAGTTTTAACTTTTATTTCTATATACTAACGGCCTCGGTGATCTAGTGGTTGAGCACACGACATTACTACTGATAGTCATTGATTCGATTCTCGCATAATACAGCATTTGTATGTGTTTCATTATATGGATATGTATTTAAAAATATTTCCACAAATTGTTTAGTATCGATACCATAAGTTCCAAAGTACTATATCGACAATATACCGTATATTAGTAGTCAGAAGAAAATGTGAAAAATAAAAAAATATTTTATTACTCATACTGTAGGGTCGTCTCATATAATAATATATAACAGTAGTATATACAAATCTCTTGACGATTACAGATTAATACAGACGTTGTATGTGGAGTACATATACTACTAGAATAATTATAAACCATTAGTGAGCGCATTAGGCATTTGGCAACTAATGATTGCACTTGCAACATCAACCTAATCATTAATAATAAATAAGTAATAAATATTAAAGATTTAATATATTCTAGAAGTATTAAAATTAAAATTTAATATGTAGCACTAATTTATTTTTTTTATATATTTTCTGACTATCACCATAAACTCGTTTTTTATTACTAGAGTTTACATGTAGAAGTGTTGCAGTAAGGCCACTGTAAATACCTATTTTACTGTCTACTGTGTTAAATAAATGTCTTACATTTTATTGTTTAACTATTTTCCTATTTAATCGCGACTTATCTACATTGAAAACAATTAGATGGCACACATGTGTTGTTCTACTTTGATTTCAATTTGAAG